CAAAAATGAAGGACGCTCATCAGCTGTAGAAACGATCTAAAGAAAAACTTTTAAAAGAAGGCCACCAAATGATCTTTACGATATATGAACCAAAGCCATTGGAAAATGCTTTTTTCCTTCTTTGCAATAAATTAACTACTAAAGCAGAGAATAAACCCCTCAAAGATGATTTCTAAAGGCCATATGGAAAGAAAAATAAAAAGAAACCCAAGTTTATAACTTTGATCCTCTTTAATAAAACTAAGATCTGTCTACATTTATTTCCAAACAGCACGAGACAGAAAACATATCTCCTGCAACCACCATTTATCTCCATGTCTATGATCATACCAGAGCCTCATGCAACACGCAGCATGCATCATGAAGCAAAAGTATTTGTAGAGAACCAGACTCTTAGAAATTTGAATATGCGAACACTAATATTTTTATGGGAAAAACCCTTGAGTAGTATTATCACATGCATACATATCTTATCAAAGGGGTACAAAGAGTATAGGAAAGAACATATTAAACCTGTTTGGTTGAAATGGTGTGATTACTTTTGCCTCCATTTCCAAATTCACTTGTTGTAAACCATCCTCATCGGTAACTGTCAAAAGATACAAGTCTCATCTCATAAAGTTCATTTGATTACTCATCGCTATTCTTATAACAGATTTATATCCTTCTATCTTACATTGCAATAAAAACAAAAAAAGAGACATTGGAAATGATCAGGACTAAACACACAATTTATCGATTCAGAGAAATAACAAAGTACCGACATCCTCTACGGCGATGCTTAATTAAATCTCGATATCGCTCGAAATTAACAAACTCTTCTACTTCTTCTTCTTTTTCGGACTTCTCTTGATTCCTAAAATGGCGTGTCCCGGGCTCCCGAATAAAATCATGTAGGGCTCGGCCATCAAACCTAAATTTTGAGCACAAGGAATTAATTTTTTTAAACCTAGTCTAAAAGGATCCTGGTAATCAAGATAAATGAGAAAACAAAACTACCTATCGATCAAAGTATCTTGTTTTCCATTCCAAGGAATCCTGTAAACAAAAGGAATAAATTAGAGATAATTAATGGAAGAATAAGAAGATCATATAAGGGAAAATAGATGCTGACAAGCCCTGCTGGTCTTGAGTTGCATGATAAAGGGCTTCGTCTCGGTGGATACGGCAGCGAGAGCCGATGACTTGAATGAATTGTTGAGGATCGCCGCGTCTTTTTGGCAAGGTAGATGGCCCGTCTTTGTGCTCTCTTTCGAGCCGCGTCCATCATGTCGTGGACCTTCCTTTCTGATCTCCGCGCTTCGTGCCACATCTTTGAGAACAGAATCGGAGGATTGAAACCCTAAAGAGAGTAATGGATGAAAGAAGACAATCTCAGGATCAAGAATCTGTGGGAAACTTTGTATTGTTTTGGTAAGAGGGAAGTGGGCTTTTATTTGCTCTGTGCTTTTACGGTCATTATACTATTCCAAAAAGGGCCCAAATTTTGTTATCACTATAATAATTTATACCAATATCTTAAATTATTACGTAATTTTAACTACATTATTGTATGAATTTAAAATTAATAAGATATAATGTTTTCTAAATAAAATTGAAAGTTTATATTATTTTATGACTAAATTTCACTATATGTCCCCAAATTATGTCCTTTATTATAAATTAGTCTCTAAATTTTTAAACATTCCAAACTCATCCTAAAACCATGACTCTCATTCTAAATAGATCTCAAACTTTTGAATATTTCAAATTTATCTCTAAACTATGACTCTCATTCTAAATAAATCTTAAACTTTTGAACATTCTAGATTTATCCTCAAACTATAAACTCTTATTCTAAATTAATCTCAATCTTTAAAAAATTTTATAATAATAAAATTACGTTTTAAAAAAATTTATAGTTTAAAATTCCAGACAAAGATAATGAAAAATAATAATAAATTTCTTCTATGGTGATTGGTTTAGGGGTTTATAAATTCGACTCGATTTCAAAAATTTAATTTTTTAATTCAACATTAAAATATTTGACTCGACTTGAACATTTTCAAATAAAAATTGAGTTATAAAATAAGAGTTGAATAACTCAAAATTTGTAATAATTAGTAGATTGATTTCAAGTTCAAGTTGAATCCCTTAATTGTGCATTGTATATGCATATTGCATATGAAAAAAAATATTAAGATATATATATATATATGATTATAGAAACCATTTAAATTAGAATCAATTATAACTATAACATTATAAATATTTATAATGAAATTAAAAAAACATAAATAACTCAACTCAACTCGAATTTTATAAACTCGACTCGACTAAAAGGTATAAAATAAAATTTAAATTATAAAAGAAAATTCGTTAACTAAATTAATTCCAAACTTTTTAACTTCACTCGACCGAAATTCAACTGAATCGAATGTTGAGCCTAATTTAGAACAGCAGTTTGTGTATCTGAGATCTGATTATCACATGTAACGTAAATGTGTTGTGTTAAATTACCCTTGCATTAAATTAAGGGTAAAGTATATTAATGGTCACTGAACTTTTTTAAAGCATTCATTTAGGTCCCCCAACTTTTAAAACTTACAATACAGTCCTCCAACATTTAGTCCGTTTGCAATATGGTCCCCGACCGTTACACTGCCTTTAGTACATTTGCAATATGGTCATTGAACTTTTCAGGAACTTGTATTTAGGTCCCCCAACTTTTAAAACTTGCAACACAGTCCTCAATTTCATTATAAACCCTAAATTCTAAAATAATTCAATTATATTTTAAACCCTAAATTCTAAAATACTTTAATTTAGGGTTTATAATGTAATTGAAGTGTTTTGGAATTTTGAACATGAATTTGTTATTTGACAGTGTTTACTTCAATATAAATTTGAGGTTTGTTGCATGCACATCCAACGACTACCGTACTTTGAACATAAAAAGTGCATCCATCATGTTTATTGCATAAACCGTTGAAGTAAAATTAACAAGACCAATTTGTCTTGTTCGTAGCTGTCGCACTTCGGTATGACAATCTAATAGGTTTTGATGGAACTTAAGCATGCACATCCAACGACTGCGAAAATAGTAAAGAGTTTTAGTTCATGTGACTACAACATACATCCAAGCAATAACTAAAATAAACCAAGAATATCAATTAATAACTCATTCAAAGGAGGACTTAATAAATAAAGGGAAAGAGGTTTGGTCATAGTCACTCCAAAAGCTAAGGTATCAAATGGGTTGTTTAAGATATACATTATATGTCAAATACAACATTACCAGTTGCAAATGCATTAATGGCCTACCCTTTTAACATATAATTGCTTCTAATGTTCATGTTTAATGTTCCTTAATAGCCAAACATAATGAGAATCTAAAGCAGATAGCGGAACTAACCCCATAATTCTTATAAATTCATGACATGTCAGCAATAAAAGATATTGTAAAATATAGAGGACACTGCAACAAACATATATATGCCAGAAATGAAGGTGCAAATGTGCAATGACAGGGCAACATATCAAGTAGATGCTCTAAATATACTACCCTGTCATGATGTCTTTCGAGTTGCGTGCATGCAGAATTGTCTTATAAAGCTATAATTCAATATAGATTTAACTGTAAAATTTCCAAAACATGTAAAAAAATCCAATTCGTTCACGATATATCAGTCCCATAATTAAAATGAACTTGTTAAAAAAGAATACGAGCTCACATGATGCCGAAAACCACAGGTCAGATCAATACAATTCCCAATAAACTAGTACCAACAGTCCCTCAGATTGAGCCTGGCGATTTCACTATGTCGATACTCACAACCAATTCCCTATTTTAAAGAAAAACCAAACAATAAGATAAAAAAATTTAGTCTAGGACCGTATTTCACTTCTATTCTGATGGACTGAATATCTTTCATAAGGAGTACTAAAAGTTTTGATTAAGAAGAAGGAAAGAAAATTAGATGGTTTTGGTTCAAAACTAACACTGAATATCCAGATCCTTGACATGCAGTTCCAGAAACATAAAAATTTCAACAAACAAATACACAATGCGAGCTGAAAATGGGAAATTACGAAAGAGGAAAAGCTTACTTCCAGATAGCCCAAAAGAGAAAATAATATACCTTCTTGCAAGTGATGTGAGATGCTAAGAAATAAATACAATCGGTGTTGCATTCCAGCAATTCTTTCTCCATTTTTTCTTTGTAAATAAAAAGTTGAAAGACATAGCACTGCTTGGATTTACAATTTTACATGGCGGAAAATTGAAGAACAAAAACCAAACGAGAGTGCATGTGAGCGAAAGAGACTGAGAGGTGAATGCGCTGTTTGAGATTTCATTATATTTGATCATCTGTTGGAAAATCTTTGACCACAAGGATTAAACAAAAAATTATTATATGTCATTTATACAAAATAATTCCAGCTTTGTTGGTGACTTTCAACAATGATACTTATTTCATCTTAGTAGTATTTGTCAACTCTGCATTTCTAACCCCATTTTTTCTCACAAGCATTTCATCGAACATCTATGCTTCACCAAAGATGACTTGTATCTAACATTACACCTTGAATCGTTGATGGTCCCGATAGTCCCTTGGTCAGGTCTTCTCTCAATGGACCCTTATTAAAGTCAACACCTCCACGTAATTCAAAGTTATATTAGAATTTCCCATGCATCCCCGACTGAAATGTTATGCTGCAAATGAGAAGAGAAAAGCAAAAAAGGAAATTCAAGATCAAAAAGAAATTTGGGATTTAGAATGAAATTGAGGATTGTGTTGCAAGTTTTAAAAGTTGTGGGACCTAAATACAAGCGTCTGAAAAGTTCAGTGACCATATTGCAAACATACTAAAGGGAGTTAACGGTCGGGGACCATATTGCAAATGGATTAAACATTTTAGGACTGTATTGCAAGTTTTAAAAGTTAAGAGACCTAAATAAAAGTTTTAAAAAAGTTTACTTACCATTACTATACTTTACCCTCAAGGGGCAGGCAACTCGACAGCAGAACAACTAATGGCCGTCCTCTTCCCACGTTTTCTAAATTCCCCTCTCACTTCACTTCTTTCGCTCCGCCTTCACCCAGGTCTAAAATCTTTGCATCTTCTGCACCATCGTCGTCATCTCCCATGGACATCACCTCCAGAAAGTACACGGATTTCCCATTCGTCCCTGCCCCACATAGGAACCTGATGGCTGATCTCGTATCTCCGATGGAGAATCGTCTGGATTCTCAGCTCAAACCATGCACTCTACCTTCTGATGTACAGTATTACTACAAGTGGGAACTTCCATGGCTCGCTTTATTTCAGATCAGGCCATACCTCTTCTCCGGTATGCTTTTACTTTCTAAACTTTTCACTTCAATTTTTTTTACTAAATTGTTTCATTTATTGTTAAGAAGCAAGCAAACTTGGGCAATTGGAATTTTCAAAGCTGCCCATTCCTACTGTTCAATTTCTTTGCTTATTTAACTCAAGTATGCTCCCTTGAGAAGGCAACTTCTCAAGTAACTGAATAAGAATGAACTCAAATTGAACGGAAAATGCATCCTTTTATTGATTAACTGCTCAACAAACACACGTTGTTATTGCAAGGGTAGAATTAGAATGTTGAATTGTTGATGAATTTAGGGTTTCATGCCTAGTACTTTTAGGTTCATGTGCACAAATTTTGGTATAGAAACGTTTTGCCGTTGGTTCTAGTGATTAGGATATTCCTATTTTTTGAATACAATAATTTAGTTTTGGTTCATTGGTCATAAGGCTTGTTGAAAGCTTTCCACAATTGCTGTTAGTCAAATCAAGACAAGTGTGTAAAGAATAGGTAAAATCGTTCATGTTATATGCATTAATTATATGGTTTTGGATGCAGATTTTTGCATATTGGCTTGTGGTCTTTGATTTGAGGTTAATGTTTCCTAGGGTGCTAACTTTGAAATTAAAATTCTAATCCTGACTTAACCTTGCAAATTTCCTCCTATAATTCTATTTAATCTAAAGATTGCTACCTTAGCTGGCCAATTAAAGTTTTGATCAGGCAAGATGAAGTATATAATTCATAGCCATAGGTAGTGAATACAAGACTTCACCCAATGGATGAAAGAATAAGGATGTTCGCCTTAATCCCCCACCTGAGAATAAAATCAAATGAATTGAAGGAACAATGAGAAGTTTGGTAATATTAGTATGATCAATGGATTTGGATAAGCTTTTCTTGTTTTTATGCTCGTCCTACTTCCTAGTTCTAACCTCTGTGATGCATCTTCTGGTAAATTTTAGATGTATCATTTCTGTAAGAATGCTTAGAACAACATCCTCTGGTCCCAAACTCCAGTTTTTTAGGCTCAGATTCACCAAAGTTGATCATTGTCGCTGAAAAAGGTAGGGATGATGTTGATCTAAGGATATCCTGTTCGTTTTTAAACTGATTCATGGAATCAAAACAGCAACATATGTTGTTTTGTATTTGAATTATTGGCTGTGTTGCCCAGGACCTAGTTATCTCTCTCTGAGTGCCAAGGTAGTGGCTATGTTCTTCCTTCCCAGTAACACTGCAGAAACATTGCCGTTGCACAAATGTTCAGCACCATGCACTGCTGTTTTCATTTTGTAAATGCATTATATTACTTCATATATCATCTGAGATTGGTCAGTTGGTATTTTGCTGATGTGCAAGACATGATCTAATGTCCCATTTACGGGATTCGGAATATATGGAATTTTGGATATTTCAGGTTGATTTCGTACTAGGAAGTTGGATACACAGTATGCTGCCAACAGGGGGAGAACTGAACATAATAAGACTTTCAGCATATATGGATACTTCCACAGATTCCCCAAATTTTCTGATCGAGCTCATACAGAGTAGCCCTACATCGCTTGTTTTCCTTCTGGATCTGCCCCCTCGAAAGGACCTAGTCTTATATCCCGAGTACCTTAATACATTTTACGAGAACACCCGGCTTGAATCACTTAGGCAAACGATTGAGAAACTCCCAGAAGTTCAACCTTACTACTCCTCTGCCCTTTACGTTCGATGTCTTGCATCCCCAACAACCACCACGATCCAAATCAATACAGAGGGAGCAGGACGCATGGAGGAGATTATAAAGGATCATATACATCCTGTAGCAAAAGAAGTATTGGGGATATGGTTGGACAGATGCATAGGAGGACGTAGAAACGTGGATGAGGCAGGAAAGGCATATTTGGAGAAGAGGGATAGGGTGATTAAGACCAAGTGCCTTGAGATCGTTGAGAGTGACATAGGTTCACTCTTCCCAAGATTGTTTGGGCCGGACACAGCAAATCGTTTATTAGAGGCGATAAGGGAAGCATACGGTGAATGAGTGCCAAGTCAATGGAATTTCACCCTTTCTCTCAGCATTGGAAAATAATTTAAGTACTCGGTCCAGAAATAGTTATGTTACTTCAAGTAATTGAAATAGGGCCTGATGTTTAGTAATTCAAACTTAATCCAACTGTTTAGTAATTGAACTGATATTATGGATGAAATTTTGTGCTATGATTTGGCCACTTCTGTTTATCACTTTAAGGGGAACAAATATTTGTCTAGGAAACTTTTGTTTACTTTCATCTGAGTCCCGCCACCTTCCCTGTTGCAGCCATGCCCTCTAAATTAATGGGGTTGAAATTGAATAGCTTCAGCCTTTAAAATATTTCAATTTATGCGACTTTTGTTTGTGTTTATGATCAATATTTTCCTTACCTTAAAACCCAAAAATTGAAGAAGAAGAAGAAAAGGCTTTTGTTTAAAACACGTGACTTTTGTTTTATTTTTAATTGTCATTCCGTTAATGAGTTGACGGGGTTACAATTGAGGGATCTCGAACTGATTGATGACATAAGAGATCAAAATCATTTTTTTGAAATCGGTGACTAAAATTAATAAACCTAAAATATAAGGGATCATCAGAACAATTTATCCTTAATATATTTTCAATTTACAATATAATATCTAACCTTTTATCTTCTCAAAGTTCCTTTTTTGAATTGAAAGTAACTAAATATTAATATTAAGCAAGGGATTTTCTAAAGTGACGAGGACCCCTAACATCTCGTTCTATCAGCTTTTATCAAAAATCAAAATTTTAATATTAATATTAAACACAACTTTTTAAAAACTACTCCAATGGTCACTAAAGTTTGGGTAAGTTTTCGTTTTCACCACTGATGTTTTAAAAGTTACAAATCGGTCACTAACATTATCGTTTGTTACAAATTGGTCATTCGCCGTTAACAAGCGTGACGGAAAACACACGTGTAATCTATGTTATTTATATATTTTTTCAATTTGATCCTAGTTTTAATAAATTAAAATATATTTATTTTTAATTCTTATAAATAATGATATATTTATTAAAAACGGAAATCAAACATTTAAAATTAGTTATAAAAAAAAATAACGTTTTTTTAATGTTAGGGTAAACAAATAAAAAAACAAAAAATTAACATTTTTTTTAATAAAACTATCATTTTTTCTTGCCCAAACTTTTTATTTATTTATTTTTAAATAAATACTAATATTAAAATCTTGTTTGTGAAGAAAATTTTTTCACTCGGTGCATAAAATTTTTTAAAATTAATTTTATTAATTCTTTCATTTTCTGAACAATCATATAATTTAATTTGTCATTAAATCTTTTAAATTAAATTTTATCATAATATAAATTGTAAATTGTAAATTTAATGGAGATTTTCTTCTTTTGATAATTGTCAAGTCGAACTAGTTCGTTATAGATTCGTGATAGAATTCATTTCAACCACAAGAAGAAACAAATTTAATCCATCCGAATGATAGATTTGAGATAATAAAAATAAATCGGCTGGAGGTCTGGCTTCTGCCCGAGGAAAAACAAATTTTCAGCTCGTGTTGTATCCAATGATACGATCGAATTTTCTTTAATCATGATGAATTCATTAGGTGGTGTAAATTGGTGCCCATAGCTAATTCATTTTGGAGCTCTAATTGCCTCTATCTGCAAAAAAGCCATAGGGATTTCGATTTCTAATGCTTGTAAATATTTCATAAATAGATTTATGTCGTCTTATTGAGAGCCCCTTAACATTATTGGTATTCTTGTATTTCCTCGTGCTTCGGTATAACATCTTTTTGGGAAATACATAAATGAGCATTCACAAATTTATCATTTCATTTTATGGAACTTTTGTCTGGTATATTATTGTTAGCTTGAATATTAGAATTTTATATTTTCAGATCACTTCAAGTAATATTAAATTAAAATTTTGGACAAAAATTTACTTGGAAATTAAGTTTTTTTTCTTGAATCATGGAAGAGGGAGGGGCTTCAAAATTTTACTTGGTGTCGATGATATAATCACGAGTCAGATGCAGTTCGGTCCATTCCCTAAACAATTTCACGACCTATGTGCTTATTAATTTTCCATCATATCAATAATAATAATATCATCACGTTAATTTGTTTGTTTTTATAACTAAAAAACAATTAATTATTTTGTATAAAAATATATCATTATTTATAAGAATTAAAAATAAATATATTTTAATTTATTAAAAATAGGATCAAATTGAAAGAATATATAAATAACATGGACTATATGTGTAATTATACCATCCAGATAAGCATGTTAACTGCTGTTAATAGGCCACGTGTGTTTTCCATCACGCCTGTTAATGGCGAGTGACCAATTTGTAACAAACGATAACGTTAGTGACAGATTTGTAACTTTTAAAATATTAGTGGTGAAAACTAAAACTTACCTAAACATTAGTGACCATTGGAGTAGTTTACCCTTTTAAAAATTACTTTCTAAAATCACATTTTTAAAAATACTTTTATCTAACTATTAGCATTACTCGTCAAAAATACTACAAACAAATCTGGTTAAACAAGAGAAATTTGATAATAAAACACGTATTATCCTTTGATTCATTTACATAAAAAAAAATTATAATTTTACGAAGAATATTAAAATATATGAAAAAGTAGAGTTAACTGAGGCAACATAGGAATGGCAGAACCACTCGAACCCAACGGTGAAACTTGAAACTTGACTAAGTTCGGGTCGGATCGAGTATCGAAGTAAAATTTGAGGATTTTTTCGGGTTTGGGGCAAGGTATCCCCGCCCCGCCCCGATTATATATATATATATATATATATATATATATATATATATATATATATATATATATATATATATATATATATATATATATATATATATATATATATATATATATATATTTTTTAATTTTATATTAATTATATATATAAAATATAATATTTTTTTATATTAATTATATATATAATATTTTATATATTTTATATTAATTATATAATATAAACCCTAAACCCTAAACATTTAAACCTTAAACCTTAAACCCTAACTTTTATAATTATTAAAGTGAAATTTGATTATTTTTTTGATAAATTTCTCAATGTAAGGAACTATAAAAAAAAGTGACAAAAGTTGCACGATGATTTTGGATGACTTTATTTGACTTAATATTACGTATGCATCTTCGTTGTATGATTTGAATATCGGAACAAGTTTGTATTTAATTATGTATATGTTTTATTTTGGAGTTTAGACAATTATTTAGAATTAAGTTTGAATTTGTGATTGTAGTTTGAATTGTAAATCATGTGTTGAGTTAATCGATCTACGGAATCGGCCAAGAGGGGGGTGAATTGGCAATTAAAAATTTCGTGGAAGCTTTTGCAGAAAATTTAAAGTAATTGCACAGCGATTTACAATGGTTCGACTTTCTCAAACAAAGTCTACGTCCACTACCTTAGCTATCCACACTAAGGATTTTCCAACAAATTCACTAATTTGTTCTTTCTTTTGAGGCCAAAGAGTTAACCTTAAAAAATCCCTCAAGAGTATACCCCAACTCTTGAGAACACTCTTTTTCCCAAAGAGAAGATTACAAATTTGCAAACTTACAAGAAAACCTCACAAGGTAAGATGTTTGCACAATTCTAGAACAAAGAAAAGAACACTCAAGGATAAATACAATTGAGTACAAAAGTGTTCTTGAAAGCAAATGAATATTGGATGAAAAATAGGCTTGAAATACTCAAACTTGAGGTTTGATGCTTTCTCTTTGATTCTCTCCTGATTCTAGTTGATTGATGTTTCTTGTTGTTGATCAATGGCTCCAGAACTTGTTTAAATACCCCTTGAATCAATTCTGAACGTTGGTGATAATTAGTGGGGATAATAGAGCCGTTTAAGTGTGAAAACAATTAATTTTTCTAGGTGGAGCGTCTCATGCATCGATGCATGATCAAGTATGCATCGGTGCATTCGTGTAAAATTCAAATATTTTGACCGTTGGAACACTTGATGCATCGGTGCACCAAGTGTGCATCGATGCATGAAATGCATTCGATGTTTGAGAAATAGCCTGATGCATCGATGCATGGCTTGTGCATCGATGCATCAAATGCATTCGATGTTTTGAAAAAATTCAGAGTGCATCGATGCATGGAGAGTGCATCGGTGCATGGAATGCATTCGATGTTCAATTAATTCATCGATGCATCGATGCATGGACTGATGCATCGGTGCATGCCTTTGAATAATTGATTTAAGGCTTGTTTTTGGTTCAAAATACTTTGTGAAAATTGTTTCAAAAATAGTTTAAGTACAAATCACAATTTTACACATTTAGTAAGGATTAGAATTGATCTTGAAAAACTTGGAGTAATAATTTGATATTCGGTTAATTGAATCGAATTTGTAAAATCATTTGTGAAATCTTAAAATTCATTTAACTTAATTTGTTATATCGAAATATCAAAAATGTTTTCAACAATCTCCCCCTTTTTGATATAACAAAACATTTGAATAATTTTAAGATTTGTTTAAGAAATTATTTTTGAAATCGATTTTGAAAAACTTACTCCCCCTTACTATAGCACATCTTAAATTTTCTCCCCCTTTTTGTTAAATCAAAAAGACTCTATATAAACGTTTTAAACAAGAATTTTGAAAAACATTAGCCAATTGATTTATTAATAATAAGATGCTAAGATCACAATCAAAAGAGAGATTAACCATTAGTTTTCATAAACAATATTCATAATAAAATGTGAAATGGCATAATTGGTCATATATCTAATGATGCAAAATGAATAAAATTCAAACCAAATATATTAAAATTAAGTTCAAACATTCAAGCATCCAAACATCCAAACAAACATTTCAAATCAAAAGTTTAACAATCCAAGTTCTTAAAGTTTAAAACCAAATATCATCAAATAATGTTTAATCATCCATAGCGGAATCGGGAGGAGGAGGAGGATAATGAGCTCTAACTTCAAGAGTAAGAGCATCCGTACGATCACGCATCTCCCTCTGAAACTCAGTAATCGTAGACTCCATGGAAGCAAAACGCAGATCAAACG